GGTCAGCCTTGTCGGTGGACATCAGTCAAAGGCACCATGAATAGTACGAAATTTACATCAATAATTTCGAAAATTTTTCTAAAAATTCATGGAAAATTTATCGTTTTTCAGAATAACGCTCCGTGTCATGTTTCACGAGAGATAAGTAAATTTATTTAGTTAAGTAGTCTGATTCACTTATTATTGTCTTCAGAAAAGATCCGTGATTCTAAGGTCCAGTTCATGCGATTCCTCCTAATATCCCGGATCTCAACGTGATTGAAAATCTGTTTTCTGTTTTGAAGAGATAGGTCAATGTGCTACCTATGCATTGGACCTTGGAGGCAAAAGTGCGATACGTTATGGAGCACAACAGAGAAAATGACTTCATAACAAAGTTGGTGGGTTTGACACCGAAGAGACTCAAAAAAGTTCTAAAGAACAAAAACAGACTAATCGACCACTAGTGTACACAAACTTTACATCTTGCTTATTATCAATGTTAATTCGTTGTTAATAACAACTGTTCCATTCTCTTTAGTTACCTCTAAACTCATCATGGTCTAGGTCAACCACTACTGACGAAATGGGAGTATCCGCTACATTTTGAACCATTCCATCTGCTGAGTGTAAACGATTCAGGAAAATCACGGATATAAAGACCCTCCAAGACTTGAAAAAAATTTTCTTCAGTATAAATGCTGTTGCCCATACGAACCGACAAGTGTTTAGCGGGGACCTGTTGCTTCAGTTTCGATTAGACCGGTATTAACGCTCGGTTCTGCTAAACGATGGGAGCTTAAGGGTCGATTTGGCAGCTTTTTGACAGACTAGACTCTGGACTCTGCCATCCAATGTAAGAGATTGACTATTTCGCTTCTGGCTGTCTTAATACCTCACCTATCTCGTTGAGTTCTTATTTGGCTTTCTACTTCATGTTCAGGAGATGGGATTACCGTCTATCGTAACCGAACGGTAGACTCGTGATCATGGATTTCACTGACTTATTCAATATAAAGAGCATTCTATTTGTAATCTGCTACATTTATATTTACACGCGGTAAGCTAGCCCTCTGCCATAGGAACTCTGTAATCTCTTCGAGTTACTTTCTCACTCATCATGTCGTAGCACTTCATCGTTTCATCTTACACTTCCCGAAACACAGACGGTCATGAACCAACCGAGGAAGAACGCGAACGTTTTTCTCCCACAGTGGAAAGTCTCATGTCTGGGATACACTATATCCGAATTGCGGATCATGTGCAATTGATGGCCACGGTTCAACGACTGGAACAGTTCTGTTCAAAGCAAGCAAACGTGAGTATCTAACCCATATCCCTGGTTAGAGCTGGCCTCTCATTTGACATCTGTTGATGTGTTTCGCATTTTCGCTCGGAATATTCGTATTGGAAAATGGTTGACTTTCGTTATCCGTGATTTCAATAGTCTGACTGGAGAAGAATCTTGCACACACCGGTAGAAATCCTTGACTATGTCATTTCACCTTTTCTTGCATCTTGCCTGGAGCCATCCACGAGTAGTGTATTACTTTAGGTACCCTGAAAACCAGGCCCCTAATGGGTATTTGAGGGGTATTTTCCACACCTAAAATCGAAGTGTTATTCTGCAGTCCTTAAAATATCATGTGTAAAATCTGTTTAGTTGTATACATTATAGAGATTGACACGAAACCTTCAATATATGATAGCTAGGATACTACCTTCAGTTACTCTTCCATTGGTGCATCTATTCGAGCACGTTTTCCATCTCTACTCTTCGAACAGTATCAGGTGAAGTTCGAACGTGCCGGTTTTCAAGATGTAATGAGTTGAACTCTTGTGAACTCTGTTTCAGGTCTCCATTAAATTTCAATAAATGGACAATTCTAAAGATATCTTTGGGCACACGTGAACGTTCTCTCGAAGCTATCGATTGTCTGTGTCACCACACCGAAAACTACGGTCACGTACAATTTCTCGCTGTCTCACAGCACAACACATTTGTTAGGTCGTTGTCGTGAATTTGGCATTTAATTTTAACTGACACTTATGCCTAACCACATTCGAGACATTGTGGTTGCATCGTGTAACTTAGATTCTCCGTAAACGACAAAGTTTGTTCCAGCCATCCTCATTTTTGTTTGCTAATGGAATTATCAATTCGACCAATTTCAACCTGTTTTGTTGATTTAGCCCTAACAACAGGACTTCGTTCGCTTGCGCGTTCGATCGGAGATAGGTACACTACTTCAGCCTGGCAGTGATTCGGTTCAATCCGTTTATCGTTCCCGTTGTAAATATGTGCGCATTTTTTGTCAGTTGTGATATCTGTTCGTGGAGCTGTTTAACTGAAATGTAAGCTACGGTGCTTACAAAGTTGCATAAAGTACCGTACAGTGAGTATAAAGTACGAACTATAAATTTGACTACTCATGAGTAGTCATGTTCGGATCAAAGCTCAACCAAACGCATTAGGAGTCGTGTATTGTCGTGACTCCATTCTCACATACAGTCATCAGTTCAACCAGTCTTACAATAGGGAAGCCACATACCCAATTATCGCTCTCGATAGTGCATATTCACTCAAAATTTAAACGCACGGTCGGCATACGACTGATCCGGAGTTCTAATGCCGAACTAGTGAGTGATTGGGCACTATCGCTGAGTTCTGATGAGAACGAAACTGAGGTCTGTTACTTCTCGAGTTGTTTAAATGATGGCTGTACACGAAGATGGAGTCCGGATTGTGGTCACTTACGATGAACAATTCACGTATCTTAGATCCCTTCTCATTAGTAATTATGGTTTGAAAATGAAAACTGTCATTTCTGTTTTTTTTGCCTTCAGGTACGTCTGATAGTACTAGACAGCATTGCACTACCATTTCGCTATGATTTTGAAGATATCCCACAACGGAATCGTTTGTTGGCAGCTTTGGCTCAAAATTTGCTATGTGTTGCTTCAGACCACCGAGCCGCGGTAAGATAGATGAGTGTTTTGCCTTTGTGTCCTTTTCGGAATTTTTGGAGATCTTTCTCGGTGGAACATCATGACAGTCATTTTCTTTTATTCCAGGTTGTTCTCACAAACCAGATCACAACTCGGATTGAGAGCAGGCTGTCAGTCGGGGCCGAGGAAACGACCGACCTGGTGGGACAGCTTGTTTCTGGCCAGCTGGTTCCAGCCTTAGGTGATAGTTGGGGTCATATTTGTTCTGTTCGCGTTTTTCTATCCCGTTACTCAGACACAAGGCGAGGCTTCAAATTGCTAAAACATCCCGGACGCCCACCAGGATCTGGATATTATCGGATCACAGTGAGTTCGATGCTAAACACACATTTCAGTCACCAGCTGGTTTCGTGTTTATTTTGAACAGTAGGGGAAGATGATCGATTCGGTACTGTGGTCTCATCATTTCGTACCCGAGTAACATCCTGTTCAAATAATGCAAGTTGCTACCCAGTATTATTGAAAGCAGATATATCAGAGTATCGACCAGGTCTAGCTCTCAGGGACCGCTTCATTGGCACATGACGCACAAAGCTACATACAATGATCTCTTTAATCAACAAATGAGATTCAAAGGACAAGAATAACTCTCAGAGATAAAAATTAGTCGTATGTGGAAAACGCAAATGAAGTATGCCTACCAAAGGGTCGTTAACATCGGAATTTACGCTTGACATACCTCCTCCACTGGGTCTACTTAAACCAGTCTTGTGTATCCATTATGGAGCAGAAAACGAAACACAGGATAAAGTGAGTGTTTGCGAAATATTGAATCATTCTCTCGGATGAATATCAATTGGTTTTCACTTTGGATTCTAATGACAGTTGTAAAAATAGTCCCTGCGGAAATTCACTCGCACTTATTAGCGAGCATGTATCGCAGGTCGCGCTCATTCATCCCGGTTTTTCTGTTGATCAGATCTCACCCCCTCCCTTCAGGTGATAAGTAACGAATGACAAATCGGAGTTCCAATAAATTATCTTAAACAAATATTACCGAAACATGCTGTCCATTTGACGGGTGGGTGTCTAATCAAACTGTTTAAGTGTATGTACATCACGTGTACTCTTCTTGGATTTCAACGTATCTCCGCTTTTGTTTAAACCCATCAACTTTTTAGGGGAAAATGGGAATACCAAACAACGATCATAGCTAAATACGAAATTGTGATATTGTAGCTTCTTATGGGAATAGAAAATATAATCAACGTGTAAAATAAAATCCGTTACTCCAGTGTCGTATCTGCCCGGATTTCAATTGTATTGGAGAAAGTTTGTATGGCATAAAAGGACAGTTCTTTTTCAGAACTTTTACGCACCTTCTCACTCATCCATCCGTTCCACTCAGAAATTTATAAAGACACGCACTGAAGTTTACAGGCGGTCCATTGTACCTTATCTCGCCGGATTTCTAACAAACCATGAACTGGTTGCAGGAAATCTGCGCAAAACGCTAAACTAAATCAATCATAAACATACGTGTATGCCATTGGTTTAGGATGTTTCTGTCCTTTTTCACGTCCTTTAATTGTTGTATTATATTGTTTTTTTTCACTTTTTGTTGACACATTGTGGTTATGTGGTTACTGAATATCCACATCTCGAGGTGTATAAAGCCATTCCTTGACTTAACTTGACATTATGGAACTTCGCCACTTCGATAGATAGCCATTTCCGTCTACAGGTGTCTTCTAATTCGGTCTTTGATTCATAAACTTTCTCTCGATTCAGTACAGCCCTTGAGTAAGATTTCGCCAAATGTTCAGCGGTGCAACTGTCACGCTACACCATACGAACTTGTTTCGTTTGTGCTGTGATCGCGGGGCTATTTGATATGTTCGATCATCTTTTCTTCTGGCTAAAAAGGCTAATAATTGGAAATTTATTATTGGGACTTTTCACTTGACCACGTGCGTTATGAGTGGCTGGAACTGTGAAGCCGGACAAGGGATCACAGACCAATTTTTCAAATCCTTCTTCTAAATATCATGTGGAAACTTTGGCTCTGAGCGGCTGTGGCCCCTTGGTAAAGATCACAATTATCGCTCCGGGGGAAATGTGTTCCAATCCCATCACCGCCACCTGAATTTCCTTATTCTGTATTGTATGGCAATCCTTTGGTTGGCCGCTTCCTCTGGCTGAAAGTTTTATCATGATAATGAAAGAAAGTAAAATGAAAAGAAGAAAAGGAATAACGCAATCTGGCTCGACAACCAGCTAGCGAAATCTAGAATCCTGATTCTATCGCATATGTGGGCATCATACACCGTTGGGCTTCTAGTCTAGAGCAGACCTGAGTTTTACCAACAAAACATTCTTCTGGCTCTCAGGACGAGTCATAGATATCGCTGCAAATATCAGTATGAACAATCTGTTGGGTGCCTCCGATGAATGGCACCATACGGACGCTCATTCCTTGAACTCATCTCCACTTTTCCCGTTTCGCTTTTACAGGCTGAAGGCATACGGGACTGCGTAATTTGACAGGAATGAAATGATTCACGTGGGCGATATTTCTTTATAGCGTCGTGTACGGTATGCTCTTTGGACTTGCAGCATCATGNATTTCTCGCTCTCTTACACGCACACGCGCGCAAATGATTATGACCGGAACCGATCTGATAACGGACGAAATTCGTACAACTAAAAAATGAACTACACAGTTTGACAACTGTATCTCTTTGTGAGTTCTCTGGATAGGGAAATGACTGAAATTGCAATGCACAGATTTTCAAGCGGGCTGGAATTTTCTTCCCTCTTGCAAATACTTACCGTTTTTCATGTGCTTCGATCTGTATGAAGTAGTATCGAGAAGCCCCACTATTTTCCGTCAAATAAAGTGATTACTCCTTTATTGTTTACAGATGTCGTGCTTTCGATGCATTACTATAACCCGGTGAATGAATGAAAGGGATCGGACGGTTGTCCTGAACTCTCTTGAATGGAAATTTGTCGTATCGAACGATATTCTCATGTGTTTTCATTTTGTCTATTGTGTATAACTTTCTCAGGCACTGAGGCATACATTTCAGTTAAAAAAAGCTATACAAGCCAACCGTCACAGAGAAGATGTTCAGCGGTCGAAAATGTCTACATAGATGGGGATATTTCATAATCCATGGTTAAGACAAAGCTCACTTGTTAACCTTCCTTTGTTTGTGAGTAAACTTGCAAGATAAGGGTATAGGTGAATTGCGGTAAGCTTTTATGCGAGATAGAATCTGGCGGAATTAAGAGCGTATGGAGGGATGGGAACGACAACGTGTCAGTTGGGCGTCAAGATCTGTAAGAATCCTCTCCGCAAAGTTCACACAGGTAGTT